TTTCAGTGAGTTTGCTCCTGGTTTTTTTTTCTCCCTCCCACACTAATACTCACCCAAAGATCATATGCTCCTGCTCATTCTATGTCAGGGGTGGCCAAATTGGAATGCTCAAGAGCATCATTAGATTTTTAGAATGGACATGTAGGGTAGGTAGAACATTTTTTCATAGAAAAATAAAAGGTTCGCGACTGTCATCAGCTAACCTCAGTGGCATCCCGAAATTAGATTTTCAAACAACGCAGACATCAGACTTCCTTGACATCAATAACGTCTCGCTTAGTTTATTGGCAAAAGTCCTTGAAGAGACTTTACAAAGTCTCCACAAGGGGGGAGAATGCCCCATATAAAGCCTAGTGATATACATACCATGATGCCAATAGAATTTTTTTTTCTTTGACCCGTTGCATCACCTTCCATATCAAAAACCACGACTGACTGCTTATATCCTGATCCAGTTGTGCTACTTGAGAGCATTAAAATGATTGTCCCTCTTTATTGTGCAAGTCTTCCCAAAGATCTGCTGCTGTTACATGCATTGCACTCATCAAGCCAATTTGAAAGAATAAATCATGCTTGCTCTTGATCAGTTTTCCAAAAGTGAAAACGCATCCATCGGTTTCTATTCTATTCCTAGAAATTTTTGTGCTGTCTAAGAGCGAACTTTCTTTGGCCCTGCTAGTGAAATGCTTGTGGCCTTCATTTCTCAAGTGATATGCTTTCTGGAAATAGTCTCCGTTAGAAGACCCTGTAGTTGAATTCACTCTAAAAGTAAATGATTTATTTTGTAGGCACTACAAGGTGATTAACCAGTATTTTGCACCAAAGCATCCAATATCTTGAGGGTTTAAGGGGCTCATGACAGTTTACCATTTTTTAAAGAATCAATTTTTTCAACCACTAAAACAATTTTTGGGGGTCTTCGTAAATCACGGTAAGTAGCCGTTCCAACCAAGACACAGATATGTGCCATTTTTTTCCTTCTTTTTTGGGGAGGGAAATACGAAAACTAATCATTTATTGTTAAAATATAATTTGGTTAAAGAGCTTCGACATTCTGCTCCATAAACAATTACAGAAACAACATATTTTGGGTAATTGTGGATGCTTATAAACTTGGCATTGGCTACTGGTCTAATACAGTCATCAACCACTGTAGGTGATGTAGCAGTCTGGACCATTATTGTAATGTACCGGTACACCATTTTTCAATAGCCTCTTTCAAAGGGGCAGATATGAGTCATTTCTAAGACTGACTGTGTGACTAGATTTTAAATCTAAACATATCTGCAGTGCTATTTCGGGCTGCAAAGTCCTTGAAATGCCACAGGGACCTGCAACGCATTTGAGTTTTAGTGCTTGAGGTAAAAGCCAGCTATGAATGACTCTCCCTGTATTTGGTCCTCTAGTAATGCAAAAATGAAAACATATTTTAGGGAGCCGCAAAAAAGGGGCCCAGGAGCCGCATGCAGCTCGCGAGCCGCGCAATGACTACCAGGGCTTTACAACCTCAAATGTAAAAGGTATTTCCCTGGACCGCTTGCCTTTCTCAGCGTTTATATCATAACAAGCCCGCCCCTGCATTCTACTTTGCTTGCCTGCCTCTGCGTGTGCGCGAATGTGAGCGCTTTGAACCCGTGTCTTGTCTTTTTTTGCGCTCTCCTCCCCGCAGAGAGTTCGGTCCTGATGCAGGACGAGTCCCGGAGTCTAGGCGATGTGGCCATCGACATGGACTCTCAATCCAACCCCCTCCAGCTCCAGCTCATCGATGAGCAGGTTGGTTATTGTCACACCAAGAGGGCTTTGTAGTTAAATTATCTGACACATATGAAGCAACTTTGCATGATCTAGCATATACGACTATTTCACACTGGCACAAACTGATGTGACGTCACAGTTAGGCCTACGAATCTGCACATGAGCACTTTACCTTAACAATATTAAGTCATTTAACTCACTTTGGACAGTTACGCACAATGATCACTGTTAAGGCAATGCAGGCAAATTCCAGTTTGACAAACTTTCGGCTTGCCTTTTCCTGTGCACGAGGTCCTATCAAGGACATCTTAAAAAAAAAGACAAAACACAACTAAAATTGATTACATGTGACCATACTTGTTGAAATACTGTAATGTGATATTGTGTTTGTGGAATATGAAATAAGCAGAAAACTGCACCTGTTTTTATCTCACGAGGCAGTCATTTTGCGACGTGCTGTCGACTGAATTTAACATCACAGTGCCTAAGGGCTCGTGTAACAACCACGTTGTTTGCTTAGGACTCGTACATTCAGAGCCGTGCAGACACCATGCAGAACATCGAGAGCACCATCGTTGAACTGGGCTCCATATTCCAGCAGCTGGCACACATGGTCAAAGAGCAGGAGGAGACCATTGAGAGGTTAGTCAAAGACACCCACACAACTTTCAGATGGCTTTCGATGAGTGGCAGGGGTACACCAGCCTTCAATGAACCTCACATGGGCACATGACCTTTTGAGAGAAATGATCCAGGAAAGTTCTGTTTTTCCACCCACAGAGGGTTTAAGAATCGATTTGAAGATGACCTCAACTTTTGAGGAAGACCCGATAAACCCCTTTTGCACCATGTTGCTTCAAAAATGATTAAGACTCATTAAATATTTGTCATTTTTCCACTGCATACTCACATTGGGTCCCCACCCCCAGTTAACTAGATTATTTTTCTCAGTACATTAGGGAAAATATTTTGGAAAATTAATTTTTCCACCACAAAGAATAAACTTGTCTAACTGAAGAAAACAATTGCATTGAGAATCAAACCCAGAAACTTTTTTTTGTGAGGCAAGCAGACTTAAAAAGCCCGACATTAGATACACATTAAATATTTCTTTCCACGAGCTGCCCAATTTGCGTCCCTAGCCACCTATTTCTTTTTTCCTTAGTAACTGCAACATTCAGAACATTTATTGAAAATAATGGACCTTTTTCTCAGGATCGACTCAAACGTGGAGGACACGCAGCTGAACGTGGAGGCGGCGCACTCAGAGATCCTCAAGTACTTCCAGTCGGTGTCGTCCAACCGTTGGCTGATGATCAAGATCTTTCTTGTCCTGGTGGTCTTCTTCATCATCTTTGTAGTCTTCTTCGCCTGAGGAAGAAAGAACAGGAAACGCAGCGGGAAAAAGGCAGACATTTTGTGAAAAACGGACCTTCAAACTGAGGCTTGGAAATCCCACGGAAGGAATGCAGACTTTTAATTGTATGGAGGATTGTAGATAGCTTTTTCCACATGACAGCACGGAAGAAGTTATCTTATAGCCCCATTTTTTTTGCAGCGAGTGAATTGAAAGTTATCCTGAATTCTACTTTGACCAATGATCCATTGTTTATGGCTATAATTTAATGGTTTGATTCTGCAAACTGTCTTTTAATTTTGTTTTTGTTTTTTGTCCTTAAGTGATAGTTCAAAGGCAAACTGCAAGCATGCTTCTAGGATCATGAATTACAGCTACAACCTTGTAGTATTGAAGTGAACTTTTTTTTTTTTTTTTTGCCAAATGTAAGCGAGCACATCTGCGGTCCCAGAAGAACTTTGCCAACTGAAGCCAGAGCTGGTCCAAAGTGCTCAAGACAGCTTACTTAACAAATAGATTTAAAATAAAACTTCTTTCAAAATGGTTTCCCTGTTGGACATCAGCGCTTGTGAAGGGTTTTGTTTTTGACCCAGAAGTGACTGGACGTCCTTTTGCACACGCGCACACACCCTTTTGAATCCTCACAGTGTACAGGATTTAATTTGAATGACCAGTTTTTAAGAAGAAACAACATTCTGTCACTTTATTTCCCCCCCTGTATATTTTCTTTTTATCTGACTGCCTTGCCTTTTGTGTACAAAGTGCAGATAGTTATGAATGGTGTATTGGTGAGAAAATGCATATTAATAAAACAATAATAAGGTGCTGGCACTGATGGGATTTTCTTTTGGGCTAAGAGGATTAGTGAGCTTTGATAAATTACCACACTTGTGTATCATTTCATTGGTCATAAAATTCACCGGACAAATATGAAACGGTTTTATTCATTTGGTAACAAAAAGCTGATTTATTCACACAGAAGTGATTACACTGAATTGCAGGCAAGGTTACTCATAGTACACAGCAAAATGTCATCTCGGGTTTCTATTTAAAACCACAACATTGGTACATTCTCATACAACATAATTTGTTTTGGTATTATTGCATTTGTTGTAACAGTACTGTGTACCTAATGAAGTGTTTTTTGTTTTTTTTAAATCAGCCATGTATTTATAATTGTAGCTATTAAAATTGTCTTAGATACTGAATGTTATAAATATGTAATATGAGTCCTTGTACATATTTTACATTTGTTCTAAAATGTTATTGTATACACAGTGTCGCATTGTGTACCGGTATATGTCATCCATTTTACTATATATATAGATTGCAGTTAGGTTATTTTAAATTGAACTAAGGCAAGTGTTTTATTCATCTATTATAATTTATCTTGGATATTTTGTATTTTATATCAGTATACTGTATATACATATGTATTTTATTCTTTATTTCTCCATATATCTTCGGTACCATTTATTCACTTAAATGTAACAAAACAAACAGCTTTTTAACTGACGAAACCAAGGGTCACCAACCTTTTTGAAATTCAAGAGCTATACTTCTTGGCTACTGATTAGCGCCATGGGTGGTCAATTTGAAAAAGAAATTGCAAAATTACCTTTGAATCAGAAATGGCTTTGTGTGTCTCTAAATCTATTTTTGATGCTGATTTTTATTTTTTAAGTCTTTGCTTTTTTTCTTTTATATCAGGTTTTGAGACATTTTCATTTTTATTGGACATGTGAAAGCTTGCACAATACAGATTTCACCATGTGTTGTCATTTAAATTAATAAATATGACTAAATACTTTACTGAATTACATATATTATTCTTATTATATCATTATGAAAACCCGATGTGTTAGAGAAGAAATGAGGGCAGATTCAGTCAGCCCCAAAATCATCTGGAAAAGTTTACTTAAATCTTTGAAAATCTATTTCTTCACAAATGTCGAGAGTCCAACGTACCCTCATGTGTTTACAATACTTTGACCCTACCCTGCCTACTTTATGTTTGATCCTTTCTTCTCCATCCTACAGCACCCTTCCACCTTTATCATCTTCATCAACTTCATCATCCTCATCCTTCCGCACTTTGTTCCAAAGGTGCGATGTCCGGCATGCTCCTACTCCTCCCTTTCCTGGCGCGAGCCCTGATGGCCTCTTCCTCCCTTTCCTCTCCGTCATCTTCCTCCTCCCGCTCCTCATCTGTCCAATCCACCTGTTGCTGCAGGTCGGCCCTGGAACCCCTCGGGCCGCTCCCCATTGAGAAGTAGCCCGTTCGGAACTTGCTGCGGAATGTGACGAAGGAGAGGCTCTTGCTGCGCTGCTGCTTCATCAGCATATTGTGTTGCACTCCTTCTCCTCCTGTGATTTCTTCCAGGCAGTCGTGCAGCGCCGAGCGAAACAAACGCGGAACCTCGTAGACTTCCGGCTCCATCTTGGACACCAGCCTCCTGAACCTGAAACAAGGAAATGGTTCAGCCTTTTCGTCTGTTAGCTTAATGCTAATACTAATTAGCACCAGTGTTCCGGTGCTTTAACCCTTTAATCAACAACACATTAAACACAAACGATAAATTGTCGACTCACAATATAACAGTACTCATGGTCATATATTCTTTATTATCTGCATAGAAAGACTAAAGTTAGTGCTGTACTGATAAGATGGGTGAGGAGCTGAAACATTTCAATAAGGGTCCGACCGATATTATTGTTTTAGGCTATTTAGCAGAGTAGAATTCCAATAACCGATTAATCTGATGTGCAGTGACTTTTTTAATCTACATCAAAAATACATTACGTGACACATAAAGCCATCTCTGAATTACATTTTCCATTGACCAACGTAATGGACAGATTAATCAGTCATAAAATAATCATTCCGTAAACATAAACATAAATGAGTTAGAAAGGGAATTTCAAACATTTTTCAGGAAGCGTAAAGTACTCACATTATTTATTTTTTTCTTTTCACAACAGGGCTCTGTCCCAATCACCAGCAACTAGCGAATACCGTTGACCTCTATCTCTCACCTGACAATGACGGGACCGCACTGTGAGGGTGGCACCTTGGCACAGAGGTCCTGCAACTCTAGCAGGTCATTGGGCGCCAACTGGTAAGGTTGTGGGTTGGGTGCGCTGGCCAACCAACTGTAGTCTGCCGCTGCAGACGAACTGCAACTGCTGCTGCGGCGTCGACGCTGGCACTGGGCGGCCCGTTCCAAGCAGATGCGCTCAGTGCGCTTCACCATGGCGCCCAGCTCCAGCATCAGTGTGTTGGTGACCAGTTCTTCACTGGTGCGATGGCCTGGCACTTTGGGTTCCAAGGAGAAGATGGCTGACCAAGGAAACATCTGGAAAAGATGTTTCAGGGGAAGAATTTTCAGTCTTTTCATGTGTATATGTGTGTGGATATCTCTCTCTCTCTCTCTCTCTCTCTCTCTCTCTCTCTCTCTCTCTCTCACTCTTTCTCTCTCTCTCTCAGAGAGAGCGAGAGAGATAGCCTTTGGTATTAGAAAGTTGTATTCTAAAAAGACAAATGGATGAGAGTGTAAAATAGAATAATAATTCATTGGCCTCCTCTTACTTCGCATTCACCAACCTGCCAATCCTAACACAGCGTTCCTGACAGCTCCACTCGCTAGTAGCACGATGGCCCGCAGGCTTCCATGAAGCTCCTTGGCCCGACTGCCTCACTCCCGCTATCAGTGTGCGAGTTTGAGGATTGACAATGGACAGAATGGTAATCCTGATGGGAGAAAGAGTGGATGAGATGAGCTTAGGCGTGCCGCACGCACACAGTTGAGGTTTTGGATGAGTGAGAACACACTTTTGGAGGAGTTCACTCTCTATTCACAATCTATTTGTTCGACTGAAAAGAAATCAGCATTCTTCTACAGTATAAAAACAAAACAGAGCAGGGTGGTTCCTCTCTTGGTGGAACCCAACGTTCTGTAATACTGTACATTATTTATTGTCAAAATATCGTATCAGAAACTGAATGATAAAGAACACACCAGACATTCATGACAAATCACCTATTGGGGCCAACCTGCAGATTTGGAAAATCTTGTCTTCAACATGATGAAAATTGGTAGACTCTTATGTAATCGCCCCTCACACACACACTCACACACAAGCACCGGGTTCGACTATATGGTGTAGCTTCTGGGTCGTCCCCTGGCGTTTCACACCACTCAGCACTGAGTCACCAAATCCCAGATTACACTGCAATCCACAGCCGATCTGGAATACTATTGAAGGTGTGCCATGGTGATTGAAATCTCATTAAACCTCAAAATTGTAAGGCAGACATGCTTTATATGCTGCAGAAATGACAATAGGGTATTTTATTCTGTACTGTATTATTGTAGTGTAATTAAAACAATACATGTAATGAGGATTTATCAATGCAGTAACGTATATCTATTGTGTATATCAATGTATAGATTCCACCACTACCACACCCTTAGTACTTATTTATGACCCGACTTAACTTTTCATTTTTTATTTATGTTGTATAAAGTTTTCTGAATCTCAATAATCACTAGGCCCTGTGCTCCACTCAACCTTATTTCCAGAACACTTAAAAGGCAAGGGAGCTTTATTTATAAAGCACACTTCATAAACAAGGTAACTAAATATGTTTCACAAAATTCACATTAAAAAAACATTTGAAAGCATTTACAATCAAAATAATTTAGGACATTTAAAAGCATTGTAAAAAAATAAAAAAGTAGTTTACTAAAATTATAAAAAGAATGTACAGGGAAATAACAACATTTTGTAAAAAAATATATTTTTTAATGCTTTAAAAGACCTTAATCTTTTTTGGGGGGTATAATTTCAGATTTCAACGCATTTATACTTGGAGGGGGAAAAAACAACTGCAGCTGTAACAAAGCGTCATACATAATAAGGATTGAACATAAATGTGACAATAAAATCATAATAATAACTTAACAATAATAAAACAAAAGTGAATAAATTAGTTGCCATTTTCTAATAAACATGCACAGTACTTTTTTAAAAACAAACTCTTATCTCCTGACCTGATTTTAGCCGCCTGCTATTCCACCAGCAGCCTCCTGGAGGTCTCAAATTGTATAGGTGGATGAGTTTGTGGTTGTACTCCCCAGAACAGGGAGAATAATTCTTACATTATTGAATTTGGTATATTTAGCTGTTTACTTAATTATCAATGTATTTCCAATTTCAAAAGAGGTGTGATTGTTATCCTTGATGCTAAATAAAGTTTTACTTTTGAACTGCCCTTACAAAGATGGCGTCTCAGATTTGTTTACGCTTCCCGTTTCCGGGTTGCGTCACGATGACGACACGTCTTCGCCATACCGTCAGTTGGCGTATGATAACAATAAACAACCCCTGAAACCAAGAGAAAGACACCAACCACCAGGACCTGTCGCTCCATTGCGACCCCAAACGCGTCGAAAACATGAGCCGACACGGCGACGGACCGGTGGCCTAACGAGCGAGTCGTAGTCACGGGGGAAGTCTCGTCGCGCACAAAGGATATTTTTTTTTCCTCCCCTCGAGTTTTTATGTCGAGCCTGGGAGAAGTGGAGTTACGGTTTACCCCTTCCTTAGCACCCAGCAGCTAGCTGTGGCTCATTCTTGCTTCTGCTCCCTCTCGCGTTCGCCTGTTATGCAGTTTCCCGAGGACTGCGGTCGTACTCGTTCTCCTGCGCCGCCTCTTCTCGCTCCCTCTCCCCCGCTCTCGCTGGGCCTATGTCTCGCTGGCTCTTCCCCTGGTCGGGCTCCATCAAGAAGCGGGCCTGTCGGTACCTCCTCCAGCACTACCTCGGCCACTTTTTGCAGGAGCGCCTGAGCTTGGACCAACTGGGCTTGGACCTGTACAATGGCAGCGGGGTCATCAAGGAGATCAACCTCGATGTGTGGGTGAGTTTCTCGGAAAGGTGGCCAGCCACCATCACGGTGTGTTTCGTGAGTGTGTGTGTGTGTTTTGTTTCACCCACTCTGACTTGACTGTTTCGCAACGCCTCCGCCACTGGTTCAACAACAACTATATCCACCGTCACGCTCTCTTCGAGGAAACGGACTTGTGGGAAATACTCATCACTCTTCTCTATCTTTCCGTCTACCTTGTCTATTTATATTGATTTCTACAGAATGTGGCAACGCGAAAGTCATAGAAGTCTGTCTATCTATCACTAATAACAATATCGATTTCTATACAAACTGGCAACACAAATGCTCTATAGGTGAGACTGGTGTATCTGCAAAGCGCTTTGTTGCTGCTCTAGCTGTTGTGCCTAGCATGGTTTGGTATAGCAGTAGTGTTTCTTTTTCCAAAAACAAACAAATTCACAAACTTCTAACCAAGCTATCCATAGCCATAGTCACTATTTGTTACGGGAATGATGAGTCAGCATGTCTTTACATTTGTGTGTATCACTGAATATGTCACATGTTTCTCATCTCAGGCAGTCAACGGGCTTCTGGAGAACCTTGGTGCTCCCCTGGAGATCGTGGACGGCTTTGTCAGCAGCATCACAGTGACCATTCCCTGGCAAGCTCTGCTCACCGACCACTGCACCTTGGAAGTGTCCGGTCTCCAGATAACATGCAGACCCAAGTACCGTATCGGTGAGTCGGCTTCAGTCCAAAATGACCAATGCATGTTTTTCCACAATTTAAAATAGCAACCAGCTGTATGAGTAACCCGTCTGTGGAATGCTTTTGTCACAATACCACAAGGATCAACAATGTGATGCCTGCGCAATGCAGCTCTTCTTGGCAGGTGTAACACCCTTGTCAGGGATGTGGGGTGTCTGTCTGTTTGTCTTGTATTATATGATATTATATTGTATTATATTATACTATATTATATTATGTTATATTCACTGATTTACTGTGTAGCACTTCTGATTGTGCAGTTGTACCTAATGTTGGATCATGGTGGCGTTGTACGCAGGTGGCAGCTGGGACTCGCAAAGCTGGTCATCCAGCATGACTTCCAGCATGCAGCTGGCCCAGGAGTGCCTGAAGGACCCCCCTGAGACATCCGAGGAGCCGCCAGCTCCACTCGAAGGACTGGAGATGTTTGCACAAACCATAGAGACGGGTGGGTTTCAAGTGTGGAAGCTTTAACTCCCGCCCCTGTCCTAACACACGTGACTGCTCATCTTTTTTGTTTGTGTGTCTATGCAGTCCTTCGTCGTATTAAAGTCACTCTCCTGGATACCATCGTACGCATTGAGCACCAGCCCCCGGACCTGGAAACAGGCATTGCCTTAGAGGTGCACATCAAACGGTAAACTGCTCTCATATGTTGTTTGATGGATTTCCTTCTTCCTTCTTAATCTCAAAATTATGAGAAGCTTATTTTTAAATATTTGTTAATTGGCATGTACAGGTTTACAAATGACATATTGGTTTTCTTTTGATACAATTTGGATGTTCATCATTGCGTTTCTTTACTCATTGGCTGAGATCACGTGGTTCTACTGCTTTATATAGAGAGTTGTGGTGTATCAAGGGGCAGCTGAAGAAATGAGAATATTGTGCTAGAATATTATTTTAGAAGTTCAGTTTGAATAAGTGTGTATTAATCAGATTCGCCAAACACACAGTGGAATATGTTGTTGTTTCATTTTGTTTAATTATGCCAATTACAACTTTTGGGTAACAAACCCCCCAAATTCACCATCTCACAAAATTTCAACAATGCGTGAGAAGCGATCAAAATTATTTTTAATATCTAAATCAGGAAGGAATTTGCATTCTGAAAAGTATATTTCTGTGTTGAAGGAATGTGAACCCAAAAATTTTAAATGTAACCATCAGTTCAGAAGATGAAAGTTTCCCTGACAGATTTTTCTTTTTTTTTCTTTCTTAGTTGTTTTTGTTGCTGCGACTATCTTGTATTATTGTCTGCGGGAACAAAAGTGCATCCGTGTTATGTCATTTGAAGTCACACATGCTTTTTGAATGTCGCGGCCGCTGTCCGTTGTTGCTCAGTGAAGGGAAACGTTAAACACAATCGGAATGTGGCACAAAAATTCAAATGAGGAATCGTCAAAGAAACAAGGCTGCTGCACCCTCAACAAGTTTATCTTTCCTTTTTTTATGCGTTGCGTACATTTATGGCTGCCGCTTGTTGTTTGCTCGGTCACTCCACGTGTGTGGTAAAACATTTAACAGTCCAACCTGAGAGAGTATTTGTGAGGCGAGACAGTGTTCAAAGGTGGAATGTTGCCACAGTGTATGGCTTAACTATGGCTTTTGACTGATAAATAAATACACTATTACCCTCACTGATTCCACACTCTGTTAGTCTAACATTCTTGTGTTTGAACTGACAATGTCTTATTGTGTGTCTTGAATAACTAAAATGCTATGCTAGTGAATATATTTGAACAAGCCCTTCTTGGACTCTCTTGAGTGTTTTTTTTTTGTAGTTCTGGCATGTTAACAAAGTCCTTAGGGCTCCCTGGATGAATACAGAATCAGTCACGAGAGAGCTATGGTTTTCTTGGATCTTTTCCAGGTTGGAGTACTTTGACGAGGCGGTGCGCGACCCATCCAACCAGACTGCCGTGCCTGTCGACATCCACCAGCCGCCCGCCTTCCTGCACAAGATCCTCCAGCTCAGCGCTGTTCAGCTCCTCTATGACAGCATGGGCACGGAGCAGGTAACAGAGATCGTCCTTGCTCCAGACTTCAGTGTGCAGTGGTCTTGAGATTCTAGGTTACCAATAGCACCCATTCAATAAATTTGCCGGGCAGCGTAAGAATGGGTGGTCACACGGCACAAGAAGGCGCGCTTAGTCACCGCCATGATTACTGGTTTTCATTGTATCGCTTTTTATTGATGATCGAGAAGTTAGGACTGGGTGGAAGCCCTGAGGCGACATTGGAAAAAAAGGGAGAAGAAGAGGCTTGTGTTAGTGGCGTATTAGGCGGCTCTTACTTGACTCTTCTTCTGGAGGTTGGAGCGCAGCTTAACTAATCAAAAAAAGTTATCGCTGAAACCAAAAAGTTAATTTCTGTTAAAACTTGAAGTGCGAAAGGCGAAGCCACTGAAAAATTTAGATTTTTTTATGAATGTAGATTTTTGAGGGGCGAAAATAATTTTCCATACGATTAAAAAAAAAAAGAGATTTGCACCTTCTGTCATTCAGATTTCTATTGTGTTTTTCATAAAAATATTTACAAGTGTAATTATGATTTTACCACTACGTTCATGTAGCAAGGTTTACAGACCAGCAATACATTCCATTGCCGTTGGAACAGAACGTAGAATTGGACTGCGCGTCCAGTGCATTATATTTGCTTTAAAACTACATAAAGTGTTGCACAAGCTAATTCTTGATATATTTTTTATTCGACAATTGTTTTTAAAAATTGTTAGAAATTCTTGCGGAACTCTAGCATTGGAAACAACCATTCACTGAATGCTGTGTCGTCCGATCCTCCAGCTCAGCGCTGTTCAGCTCCTCTATGACAGCATGGGCACGGAGCAGGTAACAGAGATCGTCCTTGCTCCAGACTTCAGTGTGCAGTGGTCTTGAGATTCTAGGTTACCAATAGCACCCATTCAATAAATTTGCCGGGCAGCGTAAGAATGGGTGGTCACACGGCACAAGAAGGCGCGCTTAGTCACCGCCATGATTACTGGTTTTCATTGTATCGCTTTTTATTGATGATCGAGAAGTTAGGACTGGGTGGAAGCCCTGAGGCGACATTGGAAAAAAAGGGAGAAGAAGAGGCTTGTGTTAGTGGCGTATTAGGCGGCTCTTACTTGACTCTTCTTCTGGAGGTTGGAGCGCAGCTTAACTAATCAAAAAAAGTTATCGCTGAAACCAAAAAGTTAATTTCTGTTAAAACTTGAAGTGCGAAAGGCGAAGCCACTGAAAAATTTAGATTTTTTTATGAATGTAGATTTTTGAGGGGCGAAAATAATTTTCCATACGATTAAAAAAAAAAAGAGATTTGCACCTTCTGTCATTCAGATTTCTATTGTGTTTTTCATAAAAATATTTACAAGTGTAATTATGATTTTACCACTACGTTCATGTAGCAAGGTTTACAGACCAGCAATACATTCCATTGCCGTTGGAACAGAACGTAGAATTGGACTGCGCGTCCAGTGCATTATATTTGCTTTAAAACTACATAAAGTGTTGCACAAGCTAATTCTTGATATATTTTTTATTCGACAATTGTTTTTAAAAATTGTTAGAAATTCTTGCGGAACTCTAGCATTGGAAACAACCATTCACTGAATGCTGTGTCGTCCCACCACCAGGAGGTGCCTGAGGAGAAAAAGTCAGCCACTGCCAGCGAGGCAGAGGAGGAGGAAAGTGATGACGAAGAGCAGGTGGAAGACAAGGGGAAGCCCCTGAAGGTTCCCTCGTCACAGCCCCTTCTCATCGGTAGCTGCTCCGGTTTCATTGAGACCACAGTCAAGCTAAAGCAGAACGATATGCTGCCCGGACCAAAGGTGCGCACAACGCACACATATTACATTTTTACAGTCATACGTTCATTTCCATCCCAGTTTAATCTACAAACTGGACACACCACACCATTACCACTTCCCTTACAGTTTCAGTGGCTCAACCAATGGTGCAAACTCAGTTCTACTATAGTTTGAAGCATACATTGACACAAATACATTCACCACTGACGCGATGCTGCAGGCGACACAAGGACCACTCCATTCAGGAAGTCTAAACCTGGGCATAGCTTATGAGCCCCCTTAAATAAAGGTTTCTCGCAAGAGACGATTTTTATTTGTGTCACAGATCTCTATTCAATAACATGTTCTATTATGACATATAGGTGGTTTGATTTTTATATTTTTTTTATACCATACCTACATCACGTAACTTACGACCTCCGGTTTTGGACATTTGTGATACTGATTTGGTCGCCGTCTGCGTGTCTAATTTTGCTCACCGTGGTAGAGGGAGTTTGAATGCTCAGACGCATGGAAAATTAGAGGGATCATTGCTTCCCAACCTTTACTGGGCTTAGGCACATACATATCTTACATTGAAGAAATCTCAAAGTACACCACGAGTCAAAAATGAGCCACTGATAACTGGAGTAAGCTAATTTTTGTCATTTTAAGTTTAGTGAAGAAATCAACAGAGGCGTATCTTTCAAAATGAATGTTTAAGTTCCAATTTTGAACAAAGGGGGCAGTGTACAGTTGTATTCAGTACTTTTCCTGAATCATTAATGCAGTGGAGACACAGTCCTGCCGTGCAAAATGGCAAAAATGGAGGTAGCCCACTGTAGGTTTCAGTGACTCAAATGTCACAAAAACTACAGACACTGAAATAATGATGATCATGTCTCAATTTATTCACAATGACTCATATTGGATAATTTACTCCAGTGGTTGGGAATCACTGCTGTAGGCTAATACATGATGTCGTTTGCCTCCGCACATTAACTTGTGTCGTGTCTGGTGGCCAGTTTGAATTGGATGGGAAGGTGGGCTGCGTCCACATGCTGTTGTCCCCGGCTCAGATCACACATCTGACAGACCTGCTGGCAGCTCTTTGCATAGAAACAGGTACGGGGAGATTTTTTCTTTCTTTTTTTTATAAAAAATATTTCTTCTTTGTTTTAAGTGACACATGATCGACGTGGTTGTGTTTACGCTGACAACAAATGCAACAACCTGCATGTGCATATGCCCAGATTGCACGCATTTCATCTGCCTCACTTTCCCTCTAGAGTCCGAGACCAAACTTGGTGGCACGCGCAGCCGCCCGCTAGACTCGGATGACCTGCGTATGATCGAAGAAGACCTCAGTAAGCAGTTGGGCACCAGTCCCAGAGGCAGGGACTGGGATGCCGAGTGCGACCTGGAGCCTTATGTCACCACTCTGGAAAACGGAGGTACGGGACAGCAAATGCTCACATACTGTGTACTCACATCTTGAATAAAAGGCAGAGGTGGCAGTAAGCCATGTGCAAATTATTGCTAAGTCGAACTGATAAGTTTCCTACTGCAGAATAGCATTGCGGCTTCGTCATGTCTTGAGTTTTGTGTCTTTGCAGAAATGTTCTATTCCATGGGCCCCACGGGGATGAGCAGCAGTGTGACGTCGGTGCGCTCGGGCAGTGAGCTGTCAGACAGCGATATGGACTCTTCCACGCACAGTCTGGCCAGTCTCACTCAGCCTGGCTCACTGGCCACACAGGTACATTTCATGTGGGGGGTTGGGTGCCAAAATGCGACACCACAAAGGTACTGATGGGTCTCATACACCGGATATCCACTTGCTCGAAAAACAGCAAAGCAGTGGGCTCGTTTATGGTGTTCACATCGTAGTGTAACTGTTGACAGAGACAAGACTTAAGCTCAACATTTTGATTCAGAAATTGGAAAATTGTTCTGATATAAAAGCCAGTTGTTTTTCTCATCCTAGGGGCTCATGAGCTGTCCCAGACGTTACCCAGTAGCGGGTTGTCTCTCCAGTCTACCACAGGCCAGTCATCGAATCAGAGGTAATGTTATCTGCACTGACCACCAGAGGTGGCAAAAGTACTCCCGCTTTGTACTGAAGTAGAAGTACAGATACTTAAAAAAAGACCTTGGAAAAAGCAAAATTGCCGATTGGATGTGGTTTTGTCATCCGTGGAGGTAAAAAAATACAACTGAATACAGAGACTGTGAGGAGTAGAAAGTGCAGAAATCTAGTTTAAAATGTATGTGGAATAAAAGTAAATAGTTGTTACAAAAATAAATACTCAGAGTATGTTACCAAAGAACAGCAACATTTGTACTTGTTTTTTCCCTTCTCAATGGGTGCGACGTGTTCCATTTTTTTCCACCTTAACATCATGTCCCCACTGTCCAAACCCCTGTGTAGGTCGCTCTCAAAGTGGCAACGCGGAGCAGCTGAAGCCCAATGTCTTGCTGCGTCTGACTCTGGGCGGCCTCACCCTAACCATGCTGCAGGAGGACCCGCCCTCCAAGCCGGAAGGCGTCTCCTCATTGTCTCAGATGTCCCAGGTGTTCTTCCAAGAACTCGCCTCTTTTAAGGACAGCATGTTCGGTGAGAGAGACTTCCACCACCTGAGAGGCGGGTTTGCCAAGGCTTGCCCTCACTCGCACCTCAGGTAGGAAAACATGAACGCATCCATAATGCACTTCCACCCGTGATCACACAGTTCACCTACCACTGCCCTGAATATTTTGTGGGATAATTCTACTTAGAGTATATAACGGCTTATGGCAATTGCTTTTTTATTGTTTATTTTTTTTAAAATACACTTTTTTGCATTCATATAAATATGAATAGGACAGTGACTATTCGAGGGGAGTAGGAAACGAGCCACTCCGTGAATAGCAAAAATCTGCACTGGAGATTAAAAAACAAATAAATAAATAAAAATGCTAATAAACATTCACTTTGCGATTTCCACCCAAAAGAGTCGTGTGTGTGTGTGTGTGTGTGTGTGTGTGTGTGTGTGTGTGTGTGTGTGTGTGTGTGTGTGTGTGTGTGTGTGTGTGTGTGTGTTTAAAATGTATATATTCGAATTTAACGTGTATGAAGCATTTGAGAGGATTCAAACTATATAAATCAGTGGTCCCCAACCTCTGGGCCACGGCCTGGTACCGGGCTGCGGCCCGTTTCGGAACAAGCCACACAGAGCCAAACCTGCAAGCTGTGAGCAAATTTTCTCCACCAGACGTGACGTGCGAAATGTGCATGGCTAGCGAGTCGGAGTCTTCCGTCAATCAGTGAAAGAAGAACCACACAGAAAGTAATAGTGGCAATTTAAGTAATAACTGGCAATTTAATAGCAATGGAAAAACATTGCCTCTATGCGAAGAAGATGTACTTGATATAAATAATAGTTTTTAAAAAAATTTTTTTTTAGTGTCTTTGTATGTTTTTGTTTTTCACTTATTACGGATGGGTTTGGAACGTATCTCCCGTTATGAACACTGTCGAAGCATCTCGGCATTTACCGTGGTCTGAACTGTCTGTCTCCCTTCAGAGTGACGGGGGCAGCGGTGCAGTTTTCCTGTGAGATGCGCAGCGGGAGACGCCACAGTCGAGCGGTGACCTCCGACGTCTCCTTCAGCAGACTAGAAATGCTGGAGTGCCTCTGGGAGAACAGCAAGCCTCAGTACAGCGAGGTAAAAGAATATTCAATAACAACACTACACTGGGCCAAAGTGTTCATTTCGCAGGTATGTCAGACAGCAAGTTCCGTTTAGTGGAAAAAGTCGAGTCGATGCTGCAGCAATAAAGTAGTAATATTGTCAGAATCAAGTCCTAAATTTATGGCAAGAATGAAGCTGAAATAAACATTTTGGTACACTTCTTTTGTAGTTGCTCCAGTTCCAGAAAGCCAACACGTTCACAGTGGGAGTTGCCGCCAGACCGTGTGCCCAGCTGCACTACAGCCTCACCGAGAAGCACCTGAGGAAGGTATTCAGACACCGCACGATGACAATGATTTTCAACCATATTATCATGATGTATCTTCGTTCACATATCTATGCCAGCGACGCATAGTGACAGGCTGAACAATTAAATACTCCTCCTCCTGATAGCAGTAGTTACGATTACCCTGTGTACCTACCTGTTGCCGTTCATACAGCAGAATATAGGTTTGGTGTTCAGCTAAACAGGCCCATATTTCATACTGGCTAAGCACATTTACAATATAGGAAATGTTACAGCATGGTTTCCTTGTAAATGATCGCAGGGTAAACAGCGGGTGGTTCGACGTGACAGCGTGGTGCGCGTGGAGTTGGAAGATCTCAGCACCGAGTTGGACCTGGACATCCTCAGTCGACTGAGGAACCTGAACAACGCCTTCAGCTGTTGTCCCGCAGAGCCAGCTGGACCCGACAACCTCCAGGTGGGATCAGACTCGCGTTGATTCCGTCTGTGCGATCAAAATCCTTGTTTCACTTCATTTTGTTGTCTTCTTTCAGACGCAGAGCAGTGAGCTGTACTCCTCCTTCTCCCTCCTCGCCCCGCACGCTGTCCTCCGACTTCGCATCCCCATTCCGGACCTGCGCCCCCCCTCTGAGCGTCAGCCCGTGAGCCAGAGGGCGGTGAGGGAGGAGACGCTGGTGTTGGAGCTGACCGAGCTGGAGCTCAGGCACCAGGAAGCGCCGGACCTCCAGAGCGGGCAGCCCAACCAGGCTCAGCTCTCAGCCCCCTGCCTCACCCAGCTGCTGGAAGCCTCCTTTACTGACCTGCATGGTGAGAGCACGCTTGACCTTGTAGATTTATTTCATCAGTTGCTTAAGTTCCGCTGCACTCACTGGCCACAACATGAGGTACTTTACACCTACCCATACGCCAGCTTATTTTATTTTTATTATACTTATTTATTTTTTTTCAGGGTCATATGAGGGCTGGGAGGGAGGCTCCTTCCCCTGCATCAGAGTGAAAAAGAGCCATGACTCTCTGCCCAGGTGAGTGGTCATCATCATCGCTTTACAGAGTGAATAATGTTTTACACTAGGGGTTGGTTATTACAAACATTTGCCACATATTGTGCTGTTTGGTAAAAAGGATGCGCGGCATCCACTGTGCTCTCACCTGTTAGATAAGCCCTCCACAGTCCCAGAACGGAGGTAGGTTTCACTCTTTGACCAAGTTGTGCACGTATCAGTTGTACACCGAGCAAGAGGATATTTGTCACTGATGTGTACATTTGGCGTATATTGATTATTGCAAAGCAAACGTGGACTCGACTTTCATCACATTACTGCCGAAGCCGTCCAACCCCTTAGTCACACAGAAAACCCCATTTCACAGTTTTCCAGTCATTCTTGTTGATCAAATCATTTTATTGATTCTCCACTTGAAATGCCCATGTGCTAGGCTATCAGTACGAGTGCGGGGAGGTGAGACGCAAGGACCGGCGACGGGTCTGGGCAGCTTGAACCTGGGCCTCGCCCGAGATCTGGGGGCTGCCTTCTTTGAAAGCCACTGTGAACTCAATGACAAAACCAGCTCCCCGTTCTCCTCTAATCGCACCATGTTTGAGACGGAGGAGGTGCGTCAACCCTCAGTGAACTTACCTGTAAAACATTCCCATCTGACACAATCCCTGACTGGCTCCTTCGCTACGGATTCTGTAGATGGTGATCCCCGCCGATCCCGAGGAGATGAGTCAGTTTCAGGCCCAGTGTGTGGCTCAGTCTCAGTGTGCTGTGGATATTTGTTTTCCATTGGCCTACATCCTTCTACCCAGCAAGCAAGCTTTCCAAAGCATCTACAACAGGTAGTGGGGTCGTATCCATCGTCTGCTAAAACACAACTTGATGATCTGAAACATTTTAAGTCTAATACATATGCAAAGAGAATTTTTACATCACTTTATGTTTTATCATAATCCCACGCAGGGGCAATTATGTATGTAATAATCATGATGAGGCGATTATACATTGACATGGTTTTCACAGTCTTAACAGCCCCTCGAGGAAAACTATAACAGCAATGTAGCCTATGACAAAAATTTGTTTCTGCGCTAAAACATTGCATTCCAGGTCATTGACTTTTTTTTCCGTGTTGTTCTTGCTACCATCATTAGTAAAACTGACCCCCTTTGTGCAGGATCAATAATGACCTGTTGATGTGGGAGCCGCCTCCCCCTGCCCCCTCCTCAGCCCACAGCCCCACGCACAGTCACCAACACCACGACGAGTTCCAACTCTGCAAGTCGGCTTTTCGACTCGGTGAGATATATTGGGTATAAACAGTCGAACCTTGTTTCAACGTACCCCGTTTGCAATGTTTTCACCCCTCTAACGTTCCCATTTCAAAGTCCCAAAGCTAACAGCCGCCGCGACCTTACTTATGAACAAAATGTACACCACAGGTAACATTTGCTGACTGAATGTTTTCAGATCTGAAGTAGGAACGCTACTGTTATTTGTTTCATGCCTCATAAAATCATTTTTTTCTTCAAACTGTATACACGTATTTGTAATTGACATGTTTCTACCGTTCTTACATGTTCATGTTTTTACACCTATAAATGTTCATACTGTATTATACATCGTAGTTGGCGGCCATTTTATTGGGAATGGTTACATCGAACTACCTTTATACAGATTCGTTATGTCCCTCGAGGTGTTTGTAACGAGGTTCGACTGTACTATATTTGAGAATATATCACAGTGAAATATGCATTGCTCGACTATAACATTAGGTACAAATATGTGCATTTTCCTGTTTCCTACTCCCGGTGTTAAAGACTCTGACTCGGAGGAGGATGAGCCTCAGTTCTACTTGGCCAATGAACCATCAGGAAAGACAAAGTCGGCGCTGCAGCCCAACCCCAACCCTAACCCCAACCACAACCTCAGCCTCCTCTCCCTCACAGTCGTCATTGGGAAAGGCCGTCTTCAAGCCAGGACAGACAAGAAGGTAAGTCGGGTGGCAGAAAAGTTTTATCACAGGAAACAAAGTACTTCACTAAACGTCGCTACATTGCTGAAATCAACACAGGAGGACCAGAGTCATGGAGAAATTGTGCTTGACTTGCAAGGAGGGAAGATGTTCAGTGTAGCACAGCACCAGAATGACCCAAATCTCAGTTTTTTGTGTCTGGAGAGTCAACGAGTGGAGCTGTACCATAAAGGTATGCGCACATTTTCTCACGGGGTGAGATTTTTTTTTCCCCCAAAGATTCCCTGATTATTTTAACATTAATCCAACATAATGACCATGCGCACGCCTAAATGCTACAGGCACTGTGCAGTAAAAAGTTCTCAGCAACTTACCCACAACCCTAATGAAGTGTTATTCAAAGTGGCATGAAGACAAATTCCACTTGCCTTTTTTTTTTTGTAGCTGTAGTCAAAGACACGGCTATTCCGCCACGGATAGAAATGCCCAACTTCGCTTCTCCAAAGGACTTGGACCCAACCATCTACCCCACCGAGGTGGGAGTCAGCAGTGTAAGCGGCAGGGAGGCGGATCCACAGATGTTGTCCACAGCCATTAAAATCACTCTGGACCCACAGAGGAAGGTCAAGGTGCGTCCTCTTGGCACACGATAACTATCATCACCCATTTATCAGGAGTGCTGAAATCAAATGAGCGTTGCTTTGTCTCCTGTTAGGAATTCCTTGTCGCCCTTCGACTTCAAGGCGCCACCATGCGGCATTACGTGACGCAGACCAATCACAGCTGGCACGAGCAGGTAACCCTTGTTGAAGTGGACCATTAAAACCATGGTCATGTATAAAGTAATTTCTGGCTATAACCACTTCACCTGTTGCTGTCCGGCTATATCCTGAAGTTTTCGCTCGATAACTTTCAATGTTATTATAACGTGTGGAAGGGCTATCTTAAACCTTTCAGGGACAGCGGTTACTACAGTGGACAGCTTATCAGGATATCCGTTTAAAGAGGATGTGAAAATGTTTAGCTCGGAATGACATTTTTTTTTTTGGTGTTCCAGTTGGTTGATTTTCTGGATGTCATCGACGACCCGATTCTTGGATACACCCCACCCGCTGTTATCACTGTCCTCCATACACACCTGGCTACATGTGCAGTTGACTACAGGTAAACACTGTAACTTTTTTACTGGGCTAAAATCCTGATGCGTGTTTGGAATGTATCCCCACCATGAACGGGTGTTCACTGTATTGGATTTGTACACTTGGACGTGCAGTTTAAATCCCGTCTTAAACCAATCGCAATCTCCTGTTCAAGTCTTTTAACACGGCTGCCATGTTGTTGCCCTTGGTCTGCCAGGCCGCTGTATATGCCGCTGCGAATGTTGCTCACAGCAGAGTCCTTCTCTTTGTCCAGTAATATCATTGTAGACACAGCCACCTTCCACCTCAGGTAAACCATAGCCTCTGTTGGCTGGATTTCTCATCACAGTCCAAACTTGTGAAGTTTTCATTTCTCATCTCATTTAGATTCATCCTGGATGACTCCGCCCTCTACCTCTCTGACAAATGTGATAGCAAAGTTGTGGACCTGAGGAGAGGTGCGTCACATAATGCACACACATAGTGCAGCTTCAAAGTATTCGCAGAGCTCTTTACTTTTTTTTTTTTCATGTTGTCATGTTACAGCCTCATTCCAAGATGGAATAAAAAAAAAACAACTCTAAAAATTCAACATGCAACCCTTCATAGTGACAACATTGAAAAGGTTTTTAGTATTTGTTGCAAATGTGTTAAAAAAAATCACATGTAATTTACAAAAAATCTTGGAAGGTTTTTGGCAGTTTTCTATTTGCAAAAATTGCCCCCCCCCAAAAAAAAACCCCAACCTCTGTTATCTTGTCATTACAGGAGTTGTGCGAATAATTTTAAGGAAAAAAATAATTTCATCAATTTTGGAAAAGACTGTCACAATGTGAAAAAAGGAGGAACAGGGAAGACTTTCTGGATGCACTGTATACCCAACGGCCACAGCGTTGCGTACAGTTGCACCGTGCAATGGAATCAAATACAAGACGTGGACTAAAAATTCTGCACTTAAGGACACTTGACATTGAAGCCAAAATTTTTTTGTGTCACACAGACTATATTTGTGTTCTGGACATTGACCTGCTGGAGCTCGCTATCACAACGTGGAAAGGCAGTAACACAGGCAAACTGGTGAGCACCTCTCAAATGAAGGCATATTTTGTTTCAAAAACACACACACACACACACACACACACACACACACACACACACACACACACACACACATAGTCATCTAACTGCAAATTAGATCACATATTGAATAGCCTATTAGCAGTAGGTTTGCAAAATAGTTTACAGTAAATCATGTATCATTTAAAAACCTGAAAATGGAGACCAAGATAAAGCATGATAAACCAATGACACAGACTGCTTCATCTTTGGACCAATGACAGTCGATGAAGATGCCACTCCCCACTCCCTAACATCCACTCTTTTCCAGGCCCAGCCTCTGTTTGAGCTCCGCTGCTCCAACAACGTCGTTCATGTCCACGCTTGTGCCGATTCGTGCGCCGCCCTGGTTAACATGCTGCAGTACCTCGTCTCACAGGGCGACCTTCATCCGCCGCCTCGACACACCTCACCCACGGAAATAGCCGGCCAGAAGCTACCGGTAAGGCTTGGTTGTTTAGCTGACAGCAGAAGATGTGAAGTAAACCTACTTGATGTTATTTTGTCTAGCTCTCTGAGAGCCCCGCATCTGTGCTACCCTGCCCTGCTGCTGAAACCGCTGAGATCAACCAGTGTGATCTGACTGATGCCTTAATAGACACCGACAAGAGCCACCAGGAAGAGAGGATAGATCCAGGTTCTGCAGAGACATTTTATGAAATCACTGTTTAGCATACAGATGCTGATGGACCCCCCCGGCATTGTGTGTGTTTCACGCAGGCTCCCCCTCCATGCCAAGAGGCTCTCCCGTCTCGGTCTACCTGTTCCCCGGCGAGGGCTCCAGGCATGACCTTTCCGTGCTGGAGGAGGAGGAGCACTCCGAGGTCGACGACGGTCAGTTCGCCATAGCAACCGAAGCGCAGGCTGACATGATGATAGAAGAAGAAAGTTCAGAGGGCTCCACTGACAACGATGACTTCTGCATCCTGGAGGCTCCTGGCATGGGCATTGCTGTGAGTCTTGAGGAAATTATATGTCTACAATTTGAATATGAACTCATTTTAGAACTGTACTACTATCTTTTGCCACATTTCCACCAACCACTACAGTTCGTAGTTATACTTAATTTTGATAATTGCTTTGTCAAAAGTTACCAAATTATGCCCTTTTGGCAAACTTCAAGAATCTAAATCAAGGCAAGTTTTTTTGCATAGCACCATTCATACACATGGCAAATCTGTAGTGGTTTATAGAGGCAAAACAGCGAAGTCATTGATGTCACCCCTGCAGCCCAGGGACGGAGAGCCCGTGGTCACTGTGTTGGTCGAGGGTCCCATCCACGTGAAGGACAGCCACTTCTCCCGGCCGCGAGGAAGCTCCGACCTGCTCCGTGCTCCGAGCCGCTTCCCTGTGCCTCAAAGCCGAGTGGTGCTGCGGGAGATCTCCGTGGTGTGGCATCTCTACGGTGGCAAGGACTTTGATGTTAAGCCCTCATCTATCCACAGCCAGCATGGAAACAGGTAAGATAGGTAGGTAGGTAATGTGGAAATTTCTTTTTGTCCAGGAGAGACAAATAGAAATAATGTATCAAAAGAAAGCAAGACTTTATACATTCGTATGCGAGCTGCTATGGCCACAACGGATGTCCACACTGATGCACATGTCATTCATCAGGCTAAACCCGATCTTTTAAAGGCACACATTCAAAGTCACAGATACTTCAATGTAGACTGTGAGGCTGATGACCCAAAGTGGACAATAATACATCTTTATTTTTATCGCGCAACTATTCCTTGTTGCTTGAAGCGGTTGTAGACAAAAGAGGAGAGAACCAAACCACGCACCAGTGGTTCAGAGAGGTCATGATTTCAGTATGAATGATGTCACACGTCTGCTACAAGCTAAGAAACAAGAATCTGTTGTGTCCATTGACGAATACAGAGATTGATGCAATTCTCATTTAGATCCGCTTCAATTGCAAGCGCCGACACTCAGTTCCAAATATGAATCAGCACTACGCACCGACACTCCCGTCTCAAAATCATTGTAGCCGATTTATCAATGGGATAATTTATAGAATATTATATTCTAAAAATATTAAGTAGCTGTAGACTTATTTAAAATAAATGTAAACATAATTTGAACAACACCAAAAATGAACACACACACACACCGATGATCTTGGATCTTTCTATTTATCATTAGATTAATTTCATTACCCTTCTTCTACCACCAGAGGTCGTTCCGTCCCATCTGGTGCCCGAAGCTCGCCATCTCGCTCCGCCGGTTCCTCTCGTCCTCAGAACTCTTGGAGATGGGCTGGAGGCAGCGGCCGTCAGCACGGCCTCCTCATGGAGATACAACTTACCAAGGTGTGTATTGCACATCCAAATGTTTTTGGATCATTATAGACATTCGTTTGAGATACCTTTAAATGTCAATAAGGAAGATGATAAAGAATGCAAGTTTATCATGCCAAAAAGCGACACCGTTCATATTTTTTGCTCTCAAGTGGTGCAATTGAAATCTGTGCCAGCGTAATGTCAGAATCAATCACTGTACCAGGAAACAAAAAAAAAAAATCCAATATAGACATCAAATCGCAATGAGCCACTTGTACGGATGTACATGTGAAATCCAGCCAAAGTAACCTGACATCCATCATCGGTATGGTTTCCTGTCCTAAGGTGTCTTTCCAGCACGAGTCCTACCCGGTGGCGGTGGCGGGACAGGACGGTGAGGCCTCGGCGTTCATCGGGGTCGGTCCGGGAGGGGAGCAACCCATTTCCAGGCAGGTTTTCATCGTCCAGGAGCTGGAGGTCCGCGATCGCCTGGCCTCCTCGCAAATCAACAAGTTCCTGTACCTCTACACGAGCGAGAGCATGCCCCGAAGAGCCCATTCCAACATGGTGAGTTGCATTACCTCTCAAAAGTCTTCATCTCCAATATGGCATCTAAATATATATATTTTTTTGCTTTGGATTAGTTGACAGTAAAGGCCCTGCAAGTATGTCCTGAGTCCGGTCTTGGTGGTCCGGAGTGTTGCCTTCGAGTCAGCTTGCTGCCACTTAGACTTAACATTGACCAGGTACCGCTTCAGGCAAACTAGTTTCTGTACGAACACTTTTATCCACCTTTAACTCTGGGGAAAAATGGCAATTTGACTTTAAGAAACAATGTCTCAAGGGTTGTAATCTGATTTCTGTTTTTCATTAGCCTTTTATTGTTGCATTTTGGTGGCTTTCAGATACCAAAAATGACCCACTATATAAACACATGAATACACATTTAACAGCTTTATCTATTCATCTATTTATTTTTGACGGACATATTTTTTTTAATGAAATCTTACCAACTCAATAGTTTCTATTGTCTTGGCAGATAATTTTGCCTCGATTCATTGTTTTGTTGAGAATAGTTTTTGCAGTCTGTGTCTTATTGCGGGTTGTGTATGTTTTTATTGTGGTTCCACCTTTAATTTTGGCAGATCTTAGCTTTTTGCTTTGTCCATCTGCTGTCCAGGATGCATTGTTCTTCTTGAAGGACTTTTTCAGCAATCTAGCCTGTTCTGTGAACCCCTACATGCCTGTGGACCCTGCATCTGAAGGTACACTCCATCTATCGAGTGCAAATATGTTTGCCACAGTCTGGACTATATGAAGGTGTCTTATGTGTGCGCTATTTGTCCCTGTAGTGAAAGCGGACGCCTCCCAGAAAGCGTCAGAAGAAGCGGAGGCAGGAGGCGCTCTTGGACTGGATCTCACAGCTTCCGTAGAAACTACTCACAGCGAGCAGAGCTCTTCCTCAGCTGGCTCTACCTCCTCCTCCGAGCAGCCAATCTACTTCCGGTATTAACAAGCACTTCTTCGATCCATATATAAATTTAACCCGGAGGGCCGATATCATCGTAATGCTGCTTCTCGCTTGTGTGTCGATCAGTGAGTTTCGTTTCACCTCTGAAGTGCCTATCTGGCTGGACTATCACGGCAAGCACGTGGTCATCAAACAGGTTTTTTACACACAGTTTCAACTTTTTACGCTGACCACCCCAAGTATTGAAATAATTCTCACAGTAATCATTTTCTGCTTTCACAGGGAACCTTTGCAGGGATTCTAATTGGTTTGGCTCAGTTGAATTGTTCTGAGCTGAAGCTGAAGCGACTCTGCTGTCGACACGGGTACATTTTAACTGTTAATTTTAAACAAATTATAAAGTGGTTATTTTGTTCAGAGATAAATGTATGCAGTTTTTTTCTGAGATTTTTTTTTTTTTTTGGCAAGAACAAATGCATTGTGATCAGAATGTAAATATTCGCGTACGGCTTCCATAACTCCATACGCTTGCCCCCATTCACCCAGCCTGCTAGGTGTCGATAAAGTGATCCAGTATGCCGTCACTGAATGGCTGACCGACATCAGGAAGAATCAGCTGCCGGGCATTCTGGGAGGCGTCGGCCCCATGCACTCTGTTGTCCAGCTGTGTGAGTGCACATTTCAAATGATGTACATGTCATCTGACAGTTTATTCATTGCTGATGTTTTGTTTTTCTTCAGTCCACGGGGTGAGAGATCTCTTCTGGCTCCCCATCGAACAGTACAGAAAAGACGGGCGGATTATCCGAGGTCTGCAGAGAGGGGCCGCCTCCTTTGGCACGTCCACGGCGTCGGCGGCACTAGAGCTTAGCAACAGGCTGGTGCAGGCCATTCAGGTATCTGAGCACCACGCACTTCTGGCTACATCGGGACTGGTTGCCAGCCAATCACAAGGCTTCCAATACAGGACCTCTTGACTGCAAGGCAGATGCGCTCACCACTACAACACATGCTGTCTATATTGTAGTTTGTCACAAGGCAAATTAACCCCACTGTGTCCTTTATGTGTACGAGTATAACCATGTCCATTCGCGAACCACATATCACGATCTCACATATGTTTCCACTCTGCCTCTGGGATCAATAAAGTTAAATCCTTTGAAGTCAGCTGCGGTGTGCTCCAATTTCGCAGGCCACCGCCGAGACGGTGTACGACATCCTGTCTCCTACGCCTCCCTTGAACCGCTACGCCATCACCGAGGGCCGGGCCTCTTCCAGTCGGCCGCGCCGTGCCGCCCAGCCCGCCGACCTCCGAGAGGGCGTCGCGAAGGCGTACGACACAGTCAGAGAGGTGAGGAGGGCGTTGTAGTATCCTTGCACGTTTTGGTTAAAAATATTTAAAAATACTCCATTAGTAAAAATCTGTTTTTTTCCCTCTCCAGGGAGTGATTGACACAGCTCAAACCCTTTGCGATGTAGCGTCCCGCGGGCACGAACAGAAAGGTCTTCCTGGCGCAGTGGGCGGCGTCCTGCGGCAGATCCCGCCCACTGTGGTACGCCCGCTCATTGTGGCCTCGGAAGCCACCTCCAATCTGCTCGGCGGCATGCGCAACCAAATCAAACCGGATGCAAGGAAGGAGGACTTCTTAAAGTGGCGCACAGAGGACTGCCAAGAATGATGGCTTTTTGTGTGTGTGTGTGTGTGTGTGTGTGTGTGTGTGTGTGTGTGTGTGTGTGTGTGTGTGTGTGTGTGTGTGTGTGTGTGTGTGTGCGTGCGTGTGCGTGTGAAATGAGGGAGTGAGAGCAGGGTTCAAATGTTATTTTTTATTTTTTTGCATTCATGACTGTGGACTAACAAGCGTTAGTGTGTGATCAAGTGCAAAAAAAAAAAAAAACCCGCGATGACTAACACCTACTGTGACGCCTATTGTGTGTGTGGGTGTGTGTGGGGGTTGTATCATTGGTTGACGACGTATGCAGCAGGAACTCTGTGAGTTTCACCTCCCCTCAGTATTACGCTCATGGTCACATTCTCCTCACTGTTTGGTTTAGGGTGCAAACATATCACCATCATGGTCCTCTCCTTTGTATTCTAGTTCAGTGGCATTTCAGGCAGTCGCCCAGTTTCAAGCACACAGGGAAGAGAAATGGCAGACAAAACTCAAGAGAACCCGACACACTATATGTCGCCTTTACATTTGCTTTCTTTCTGTTTTCTTTTTTTTTTTTTTGCTTTAACATCGTGTGCCATAAAGTGAGCAGTATATCCCTTTTTTATTTGATCCAAGCTTGTGCTGCCTTGCTTAATTATGTTCCCTTGCAAACTGAAAAGCTCATCTTTAATTTGCCTGACTGAATAGAAACACTTGAAGCCTGTAAAGCTCGTTCTAAACTTCACAGAAATCATGCCGTACTACCATTTGACTTGCTCGGTTGTGTCATGATGTCATCCTGTGGTTTTTCCACTTTCCTCACACTTCATCACACTTTCATTTTTCGTACAGATTTGGAGACAACAAGGGTTGGTTAGGATCATTGTCTACACTTCCCTGTTTTTGTAGTTGTTCCTACTTCTTTTTTTCATTTGTTTGTTATATTCATTCATTTTTAAACTAAGCAATGATGGGATGTGAATGTAGTAACCACTGAGGATATGGTGTTTGTGGTTCAAAAAAAAGTTTTACATTTTTATCTTTTTGTTATGATGTACCTATGAGTGTGGATGTGCGTGAATGGTAGAGAAAGCGTGACAGAAGGCGTGTGCTTGTGTGCGTGCCTGATGCATGTTTGTGAGGGTGGTTGGTTTGTAATGAGGGTATGATTGTAATTGCTATTTGCGATACATCAATAGTATGAATGACCTGTATAGTACAAAACTGAGTATATAAAAAATAAAAACAACTTGTATAAAAAATATATTAAATTTTGTCAAATCAGCATCTTGAAATGCTACACGAGTGAGGTGAATGGATTTTCTCGGCAAAGTTGAAGTGCTCACGAACAAATTTAGACAGATTTGTGGATAATATTTAAGAGAAATAGGCCTTTTGTGTGCTGGATGTTTGAGATCAGCTCAAGAAAAACGGTAGTTGAAAAGTGTTTGCTTTTATATTTTTGTTCAGTGTATAAAATGTAGCCTCGAAATGTGAAATATTTGTTGTCTTTGTTTGAATCGAATTAATTGACGTTTTTTACGAGTTTGTCACCTGCATTGATGTGTTGGGTGATATTCCCATTTGTGTAATGTATTTTAGAATGTAATTATCGTTCCGTTTACAATTTTCTTATTTACACGGAACGTTCTTAAACAGGCCAACGTTTCCGGGAAACGTTTAAGCGGCCCAACTTCCGGTCCACATGCTATCCTGGGGCTCTTCCGACGTACAAGATCTATCCAACGTTTAGTTGACAAAAAATATATATAAAAAAAATTATCTTTATTTGTTTTGCTTAACATGAAGCTTCTTACGCATAACATGCTGACTTCTCATGTCAAGGGCGTCACCAACGGATACCCGCTGCTCATCAAGGTAAAAAACAAAACAAAACAATAACGTGAACCGAAAGCGGAGCTAACCGCGTTAGACGCCACTTGTCCTTTAACGGACGGATTCTGAGCTTTGCGATAGTGTGAGCACGTCTGCCTCTCAGTTAAGAGGTTCTAGATTCGAATCGCTGCTCCGACCTCCCTTTCCAACATTCCAAAACATGCACCTCCACTTCATTGAAGAATCTAAATTACCCTATGCGTTAACGTTCATGCTGCTATTGGCTGCAGCTTAACTCTGAGCCGAATGAGGACAGGTGCTTGTAAAAGGAAAACAAACAAACGGAATGATGGGTTTTATTTAATTTGCGGACATTTGGAAGCGTCGTCAGATGACGACTTGTTGCATTTGGAGACTCACAGGAACCACAGGTGGAGGCGTCAGGGATTGTTTTTTTGACATATTCTTGTGGTTGACTTGTCCAACTTGGTCGACTTTATTCCCCCGCCCTATTAACATTAAACAAAGAGAATTGCACATTGTGTATGTAACCAAACAATGTCACTTTTCTTTACCAAAGACTACTAGGTTGACGTTAACACAATAGGAAATGCCATAGACAGGCTAGCAGTATTGCAATACTGTTGTAATAAACCTTTCAAAAACATACAGTATATTGGAACACAAATGGTAGTTATACATGCAGAGCATACATTGTTTATCGGCATGTATTTATCCTCTGCAAAAAAAAAAGACTAATATTCCAGCAGTGTGCAACAGTTGTATACATCGGTAATTTAGATAAACCTTCTGCCATCTAGCGGAACAGCATTTAATTATTCTGACAGCAGCACAGGTGTCGGGAATCACAACCCACTATATGTACGTATATAAGCCATTACAATGTCACTTTTCCATTAATATGTCCCCTTTAAGTGCTCATCATTTCCATTGGCAGGCAACGGAGGTGAAGGTGAACGAGGTGGACTTTAATGCTCAATTTGTCAGCCGCATGATCCCCAAGCTGGAGTGGAGCGCTCTCCTCCAAGCTGCGGACGAGGTGAAGACGAGTCAGAAATTGGACACAGGGTATGAAAACAATACTGTACACATAATTTGGGCTAATGTTTGCTTCCGTAGTTGGGTCAGCGACAAGACTTGCCTAGTGAACTGGTGGCTGACTTTGAGAACAATGAGGAGTTCCTCAAGAAGGTGCACAGAGTTCTCTTGGAGGTGTGTACTCTCTTGTCTATTGTCTATGATTGCTTCAAAACCCTGTATTTTTTATGGCGTGAAATGGAAGCGCTTAATTGTATATTGATTTGGATTATTTCTCACCATAGTAGATGTGGCAAAGTGAAGCAGTGTGTGAAAATAGCTTTTTTTTGCTTCACTTTGAAAGCCAGATGTTTTTGGATTTAGACTGAACAATTGTGCAGTGTTGCCTTGATTTATTAGGCTCATTCGTTCTTTGACCACCCTTAAATTGTTTTTCCCCAATTAAATTGTGGTGCGCGCACCTTGGCCGCAAAGGCACATTGTACTACAGGTATACAGACACAAATGAAGAGTTTCACAACTCACTCAGAAAGTCTTTTATTTGAGGGATGCACACTCATACTTAAAATAATTCGTAAACATAGATGCAAAAATCTAAATAAGCACCGAATGAATTTATATACGTTTCTGACGTTTGTATCAGTGTTGACAGTTGCAGACGTTTGTAACATTGTTACTGTGATAATTTAGTATGGAAATATACGGTTTATGGGAGTAAACGTTTGTAATGATTTGTCCAAAAAATACATATATTGTTTCTGTTTCCCAAATATGTTAGTGTGAATGCCAGGCATTTGCTGTTTACATTTTAGTTTGTTGCCGTTTAAAGTTTAGTCGACTGGCTTGCTTGGTTTATTGGCAGATCGGCCACATCCAACATGGCGGCTACACTGACGTATCGAGTCAACTTCCATGTCCTTTCCTATTGATGCTGTTGATTTCTTATTGAGGTGTGGCGACCTCTGGTGGCGACTCTGCGATTCACACGTGTGTGTCCACAGGTGGAGGTGATGGAAGGCTGTTTGCAGTGTCCTGAGTCGGGGCGACAGTTCCCCATATCCAAAGGGATCCCCAACATGCTGCTCAATGAAGAGGAGTTGTAGACACCGAAAAAGGAGGTTGGACTGTGGGTTGAGTTTACGCCAAGAGATGATCGGATAATTCGTTTTTACTTTTTGCCAGCAAAATGGCCCCTAAATGGAGATTGAAACACATGTTTTATCTGTATTTATTTTTGTACCCTTTTTTTCCCTCTTTTCAATAAACCCTACTAAGATTCCCTTGACAGCCAGAAGTGGAGTTAGGTTTTTGTGGCCAATGAGGATTGACTTTATTATAGATGTGGGTGAATGTTGACATGCACGCGTGTGCATGTCTAACAGACAGTGAGTGAATGTCTGTGCGTGTGTTTGTGTATGTGTGTGAGCTAGTGAATGTAGGTGTGTGTGTGTGTCAGAGATTTACTTGAGGAAAATTAAGACAGTTACCGGGAGTGGGTGACAGAGTGTGAATGTATGTGTCAAGCAGTGACTTGAGAGAATGTCGACGAGTGAATGACTCTATTCGTGTGGGTGTGCCTGTGAGAATAAATGTGTGTGGCCGAGTGTATGTGAGTAAGTAATTTTGAGTGTTACTGAGGGCATTGAGTTTGTGAGAGAGTGTGTTTGAGTGGCAAAGTGCGAGTGCCTGTGAATCTGAGTTTGAGTGAGTGAGTGCGACTGTGAGTGAACGTAACAGAGAGTTTGAATGTATGGCCGATTGTGAGCCTGTGAAAGAGTTCATGTATAACGATGTCAGTGAGTGAGTGAAGGTGATAGTGCATATGATTATGAAATTGTTCCACAGAGTTTGTGTGTGACAAAGTGTGTGAGTGTGACTGTTAAGAGTGAATGTACGTGAGTCGCAAAATGAGTAAATGCCTGTGAATTTGAGAGCTCATGTGTGACTGAATAAATGTGACAGTATTTAACAGTGTGACCTCGTGCAGAGTGCCCTAGAGAGTTTGTGTGTGACCAAGTGAGTGCATGTGTGCTCATGAGTGAGTGTGAACTGAGTGTGTGTGACTGAGTGCGTTCACATCTGTGTCTTTGTGAGAGTGTGTGTGAAAGAGTTCAGCATGAGTGGGCATCTGTGTGACCTTGAGAGAGAGAAAGAAAGAGTGGATGGATGAGTCTGATAGTGTAAGTGACTGTGACTATGTAAGAGTCCATGTGAGTGTGACAAAGTATGTGAAAATGAGTGACTTTGTCTGTGAGAGTATGTGTGCGCATGTGAAAGTGAATGCGACTAAGTTGAGAGTACGTGATAGTGTGTGTAAATGAGTGAGCGTGTGGTGACTGTGTGTGTGATTGTAGAGAGCACAGAGGTCCAGATGATGTGGCAGCGGCCTGTCTATATTTGGCTTGGCGGGGGAAAAAAATGCAGCAGACAGGCTGGAAGTTGTTTTTCACCATTCTCCCTTTTTTTTTCCTTTTTCATTTTTAAGCAAAAGCAGGACACCATACCTAAACATCCCACGCCACCCCACCTGCTTTGGTTTCTTTTGAGCACAACTACTATGCCAAGTTGTCTACAACTTTAGCGAGGCAAGTCGAAACAGACGTGTGAAATGACATTCGTTTAAAAAAAATAAAAAACAAACAACAAAAAAAAAGGAAAGTGGGAGTGGGTGCGTGTGCCGCGACTCAAACCCCGGAGGCAGGCCGTGTCCTACCTTTCTTTCCTTCTACTTAAAGCAATTACAGGCCTGTGCCCACAACTATAATGACAGTATGATGCGATGGCAGCAGGGTACCAATAAAAGCCACCCATGACAGATTAACAGTGCTGTGCAAGTTCTGAACTGTAATTAACAACGAGATGGCTGGAAGATAAAGTGGCCTCCTGAGTGATGTCAAATGCAAAGATACGTTTTGAGCTGCTGCTTTGAAGCAGCTGCAATCAACTAATGCTGTTTAATTCCACAGTTTTTATTTAGTTCAGCATTTTTTTTTTGGGGGGGGGGGGTAATGAGAATGACTTTTCTTGTCTGCAATGTAGTCATAATATAGTCTGGACCGTCGACCAGCCAAGTGCTGTCAATACTGTACACACAATCCTACGGAGAAAAAGAAATCTTTGCATTCCCTAGCAAAAAACAAACAAACAAACAAACAAAAAAAAGTTTCCTCACAAAGATTTGCATTCCCTCGCAACTTTTTTTTTTTTGCAAGTGGAACATATTTATTTTTAATTTATTTTATTTCTTTGATTGTACCGTATTTTTTACAATGTATGTTTGTTATACACCCATCTTTAATTTTTAAAGAAACACATTGAAGTTCTTTGTTATTGTCATGTGGTCAACTATGGAAAAATCCGGTGTTCATTGTAGTATTTTGTGTAGGTCAACTGCACTAATATTAGCTGCTAATTGTTCTGCTGGTTGGCACGGATATCCCTTTCATCATTTTTAATGATTATAATTAAACAACATACGTTATATCTTCATTTGAACTAATTGTCTACTATACTAATTATTTGAAATAATATATTTTTTAACAGTTGATTAAAACTTGGCTTTAATTAAGCTATCACATCCGTATGCTAACCTGGCGGCTAGTTAGCTTCTTTTTCCGCTTTTCAGAAAAGTTGAGGATTGTGTTATTTGTACAATTTTGTATGGCACAAATGTGAAAGGCTTCTCTATTAATCTTATTTTTTATAGAATTGCGTGTATGTGTTTTTTTTTTAATGATTATAATCTGACTAAAAAAGCTAAGCTAAGCCATCAGTTTTGCCCTCTTATTCACTTGCGAATGAAACTCACTGCTAACTGTCAACTTCGGTCTCCATTTACCGGCCACTTGAGGATTGTTGTTATTTTTAGAATAAACTCAATGTGTCCCTAACTGTATGTGTTTGTGCGCCCACTTTGGTGAGAGTGAAATGGCTCTTATCCACAAGTCACACTCCCTTCCCCTTTCGGTAGCAGCCCGCCTCCCAACTTCCCACACACATCGGCCGCTACACCCAGGCCAGCCCCGCCTCCCGCTCTTCTTACTCGTCGGCTGCGTGGCTCAGTCGGCGCGGCTCGTGATGGAGCTCCATCCCGCAGCAGGTCTGCACGCACACCAGCGGACCCCGCTTGATCTGCGCTAAAAGCGGCCCCTCCGCCACAAGGACTTCTTTCATTCATCTTTCAACTTCTGCTTTTTTTCTTACTCTCCATGTTTGTTCGAGGGGGGCACTACGACCATTGGTTTTACAACATAAAACAGCACGTTTCCCTGGTTGTTTAGCGACGTTTTGTTTATCTGTAGCGAGCATAATAAGAGCTTTTGTGATCGTTTTTCGGAGGGGGAGTAATAAGAGCCTTTTGGAGAGTAACAAGATTTTCTTGGAGCGTAATACGAGCTTTTTGGGTCGTTAAACACACCGCTGGTAGGTTCATCGAGTCAGCTATGTGGCCCCTTTGGCCCCACCGACGTGCTTGTCTGAGGTGAGGGGACATAAAGACGTGAGCTGCCAGGTGAGGTGAGCTTATCATGGGCTGAGTTCTTTTTATTCCCCGAAGGCTGGGCACTGAGGACTGCACACATATTTTTTTTTTGATTATCTACGTTCTATTATCTCAATTTTAAGTGTTCGATTGATCATTTCCAGGGAGTTCGTGCTAGCCTAGATTAACTTGCTCGAGGCAAGTTGTAAATTTTCTTGTGTGTGTGTGTGCGTGTTGTTTTTTTAAACACTGGAGTTTCGTCATAAGTCGTTCAACAGCTATTACTTTTTTTTCAATGACAGCTGTCACTTTTTTTGCGGTTTCATGATTAAGTAACCGTGTGTAATTGTCGCTTTGTGATTTGTCGTTGAGTCTAGCCTATTTTTTTAAATGTGCTTTGGGGGAGAAGTATTTGTTTATCGTGGTGGCTTTAACTCTGACGCACGCGTTCACGACCAGGGTTTAGTATTGCCTTTTCGTTGCAGTCTCCCTTCCCTTTTGGAGTTTTTTTTTTTCACCCCACAGTCTCACTGCCCCCTCGGCCGTTCAGGGACTCTCTCTCCCCCAGCCTCTCTTCGGACAATGTGGCTGTCTCGTTTGGCTCTGCTGCTCCTTCTCCGGCTGTCCGTCGCGCTGGTCAAGGGCATCAACACTTGTGCCTTCATCAATTTGGACGAGCAGAAGTCGCGGCGCATCGAGGCGGTGCGCGGGCAGATTCTCAGCAAGCTGCGCATCCAGAGCCCGCCGGAAGACGACGGAGCGGCGCGGGACAACGCGGCG